GTTTTAAGGGGTTCCCAGTATCCCCATTCCACCCCACCATCCTTTCAGTGACAATCCCAGGCGTTACATTTCCACCCCCTTTTCCTCACTGCCGGCGGAAGGGAGACTTCAGAGGGGAGTAGATGAAAGCTGAAGGCCCCATTGTTATGTGTAGTCCTTTTGGTGGTATCCACATTCAGTCCCTTTTGAAGTTGTACCGAAGGAAGTGAGGGCCATAAAACCCCTTTGTTCACCCCCCTTCCCCTTCATCATATGACAGAATCCAGAGAGGGCAGAAATGGGGTTTTCCGTAGTCGATAACTAGAGATGAAATATAATTGGATTCTGAAAAGGACAATTGGTCATACCTCCTGCCTTTTGCTGAGGTTGCTTATAAAAACGCAGTGCACAGTAACACTGATTTCACCTATTTTAAAGTGACAATGGGGCAGGACTTTGTATCTATTCCTGAATTGCGCCAGGCCACCCCATCAACCACCTCTTTAAAGAAATGGGTCGCCTAACTATAGAATACCTGGCCAGTAGTAAGAAAAACTTTGGAAGAGGTGAGGGAAGTGTATAAAACACAAGCTGACAAAAGGTGCACAAAGCCAAAAAACTTTAAAGTTGGAGATAAGGTTTATCTATCTACCAAATACTTGCAATTCAGACAACCGTCCAAAAACTGGGCCCAAAGTACATTGGCCCTTTTCCCATAAAAAGAGTTATTAACCCAGTGACTGTCAATCTCCAATTACCAAAGACACATAGACATATGTATCTAGTATTCTATTGTAGTCTCCTTAAAACCAGAAATCACATTGTCCCTACACCTAGAATCACAACCACCTCCTGATCCCATTATGATTGAGGAGAGCAGCATTTTGAAGTTCAACTCCTGGCTAAGTTCTTGTCAATATATTCCCTTAACTCCCCCATCTCTCTAGGCATCACTGAGTTGGGCTTGGGGAATTTTGCTCTTGGTAGGATCTCAATTGTGCAGTCCATGGTGTGATGGTAGAGTAGGGTGTCACATTCTTTTTCACTGAACACCTCCATTATTCCCGGTATTCCTTAGGGAATACCTCCGCTAGTCCCAATATTCTTTAGGGATGGACTGCATCTTCAGCAACTGTTCAGACACCGCCCTTATGCGCTCACTCCCTTTCCCCTTGTCTCTCTGCTGCTTAGGCTCATTGCTGTTCTTTTGGGAGGGGAGTTTGTCCCTGTCATCACTACATGTCTCACATCTTTCCCCCAGTGCATGGCAGTATCATAGTCTCTGCCATCTTTGGTGCCACTATGAACTGAATAGTTTCTTTGTGATTCCCCACCCTCAGATGTACTGGTTCAGTTAGATAAGAAGAGGACAACCTGCCCACTAGGGAGCCGTCAACTTGCTCTAACTTCATGGGGTGGCGCAGCTTCCTCACTTGCAACCCTAGGTTTCATATTGTCTGCAAGCTGACTAAGCATCGGGTGCATCTAGAATCTATTAGAGCCCTTACCACCTCCTTCACCCCCAAGTGGGGCACTATGATCTCTACTTGGGCCAAGAAGGCGCTGGTTGCTCCCCAGTCACAGTAGGCCTTGTTCTCTGTAGGGGTTGCGGTATCGGAGCTGGGATGGTTGCTGAAGGTTGATTAGACACTGTCCCAGAAGGCTGCTCCTTCTCCATATCGGTTCCAATCCCCGCTACTCCAATCTGTTGAATTTTTCCAGCAGCTTTTTGACTGATGGGCTATGGCAAGCTGTCAGATACTGCCACTCCACCGGTTCTTCTCACTCTGCCACTCTCTTTCCTGTCCATCTCAATTCCTAGGTGAACATCACCTCTGAAGAGATGAGAGGGAACTCAACCTCAGTTGCCTTTGGCATGATGACCCACCACAACTCCACTCCTGTCTGGCAGAAGCTCCCTGCTGCTCCGGTCTCTTGTGCCGCTGGTTTCCCAGTCTTCTCCACTCAATCTTTCAGACGGGTCACCTTCGTCTGGGTACCAGAGTCCGCTTGTCCTGTAATTGGGTTCCCCTTCATCAATCTTGTCCTGGACCTAGCCATCTGTTCTCCTTTATGTTCCACCCTAGCCATCTTCTCCTGAGTCTTCACAGCTCTTCTGGAGGCAACCAGACAGTCTGCAAGAGCTCAGGACTCCCTGCTATATTTATTTTAGTTGAGAGCTGGTTTAATGTCAAGGTTCCAACTAAAGAACCCAACCAAGTATGCACCGATGAGACAATGCAATCTCTTATGCAAAACATTACTGAGTACATCATTTTGGCACAACTGAAAGCAAATCCAGCTCTTGTTATTTCCCGTGTGAACCGCTATAATTAAAACATACAATGCTCCCTCCCCTTATTAGTGCATGTCACACTGTCCAATCAAGTGTCAAAAGGTTGCTATGAGAAAGTGTCTTTGTGGGTTTGGTAAACTCCTGTTGAAACGTCCTTGGTTCATATGATTGGATTTCTTGTTTGGAGTCTGCATTCCATTTCCCCCCTCCCCCCTATTGCATTGGCTAAGTAAGAAGCAGTAAGGGTGGCAATATTGTGCACATGCTTCAAGCTTGACACCAAAGATGAAAGCCTCCTAGAATGCATATGGGTCAATATAAAAGGAAAAAAGAATGACATTGCCATAGGTATATACTGCAGGCCATTCAAGCAGAAGAAATAGATGAATTGTTTGCTAACCAGTTAACAAATGTAATGGAGGACTTTAATTTCCCTGACATCAACTGGGAGATAAACTCTCCATCAAGTGGGAGATCAAACAAATTCCTGACCAACCTAGTTGACAACTTTGTCATCTAAAAGATAGAGGAGGGACAGCTATACTGCATCTAATTCTTACTAATAGGGAAGAAGTGATAGAGGGATTGAAGTTGCAGGAACTTTGTGGGAGAGTGACCATGTCATATTGGAATTCAAAATAATTCAAACACAAGCAATAGAACATAATCAAACCAGTGTCTTGGACTTTAAAAAAGCTGATTTCAACAAACCTTGAGGGATCTTGGGAAAGGTTCCATGGATTAAAATCTTAAAGAGAAAAACAAGAAGCTTGAGAAACTCTGAAAGTATGATTATAAAAGCCCAGTCCAACTCAATACCACTGAAAAAGAAAAACAAGGAGTCCAAGTACAAACCAGTATGTTTGTACAAAGAACTCTCTGATAAATTAAAAGACAAAAAGGATAAGTACAAAAAATGAAGAGGGGGACATATAAATAGGGCAGAATACCAACAAATAGTCCAAATTTGCAAAGATGAAGTCAGAAAAGCTAAGGCTCAGAATGAAGTAAAACAAATGTCAAAAATAACTTTTAAAAAGTTTCTTTCAACATATTAAAAATCAAGGAAATAATTGTCCACCAATGGGAGAAGATGGCAAGGAAGTGATGGGCAACAGGGAGAAAGCAGAACTGTTTAATTCATTCCTTGCACCTATCTTCACACAAAAGGGAAAAAAAATTGCCCAATGTACCAAAGCAGAACCATAAATGACAGACTGGAAATATAGGTCAAAATAGGCAAGAAAATGTTAAGACAACATTCATCCCCATAGACAAGTTCAAATCATCAGTTTTTCCCAAAGTTCTAAAGGAGCTAGCAGATGTGATCTTGAACCACAGAATCATATATTTCAAAGATCCTGGAACACCAGGGAACCACCAGAAGACTGGAAAAGAACTGATGTGATTTCCATCTTCAAAAATGAAAAAAAAGGATCCAGAAAACTACAGATCAATCAGCCTGACATCACTACTTAGTAAGATCCTGGAAAAAATAATGAAAGAACAGATCTGCGAACACATAGAAGGAAGCAAAGCTATTACTAGGAGCCAACATGGGTTTATCATAAACAGATTACGCTGAAGAAATCTTATTGGATTCTTTGACCAAGTGACTAAATTGGTGGACTAGTGAAATGATGTGGACATTGTATACCTAGACTTCTGTAAGGAATTTGACAAAGTAAACCACAACATATCTCTTAATAAGATAGAAAAATATGGGATAGACCACATCACTACCAGATGAATTCATAAACTGCCTGACAAACTGCAATATATATTTCTCAATGGAACTACACCTATAGCAAGGTCCCTTCCAACTCTGTTATTCTGTTATCTTTATAAATAATTCAAGACAGAAAATATATCCTTCTATTTTCCCCATAACCACAACCCAGTGAGGCGAACTGAGCTGAGAGAAATTGGCCTAAAATCACCCAGCTGGCTTTCATGGCTAAGGTAGGACTTGAACTCACAATCTCCTGCTTTCTAGCCTGGTACCTTTACCATTAAACCAAAGTGGTTGAAACACCTTGCCTTACAAAAGTCAAGTTTGGGCTCCACATTATTGAATAAAGGAGTAAAAGGAGTTCTATTTTGCTGGATATTTGAAGTCAAGTGGTTCTCTTTGAGTTGCCTTTTTAAGCTTCAATAATATGATTTTTAGTATTTTTATATTTGTTATGGTACTTTAACTAGAATTTATGGAAATGGAAATATTTTTCTATACTATTATGAATTCCCTAGAGTAATGAAGCCACATATTTATTTGCAGTAAGTAAATAGACAATAATATGGATACAAAAGCTCTCACCGTATTCATGTGATCAATATTTTTGATGCTAAAGGACTTAATACTTGTTTGGTAAGTCCAGTGCCACAATAGGTGAAACAATGATTGCAACTGTGTGGTGCCATGTCATGCATATGGGAGGAATTAAGACTTTTCCTGCTTTTGGTGCCGGTGGGTCACTTTTTAACTGTGACAAATCCATTTTGAGATTTGCACCAGGATGTTTGTTGTAAGGAGTTTTAGGAGCTTCAACAAAAGGGTTATTTATGGTCCTGGGGCTATGGTGGCTCCCCTCTGAGGTATATTACATGGAAACACTTTAAAATAATTGTTGGTATCTCATATAACCACAGTTGACTGTCTTTTTGTTAGATAGTACTAAGTTGAAAGAATATGTTCAGAGATCGTTTATATTATAGAAATTCTTACCATCTGAGCTTCAGAAAGTTTGCTCTCACAGATCATACATTCTTTAATGTGAAGTGGATTTTCTGCACCACATGCAAAGCAAAGTACTGCATCCTTTAAAGTATAGAACAAGCACAAATCACTAAAATTTGTAGGATATGTATCAACAATATATGCCAGATATTCTATACCCTAGATTACAATATTCTACAAAAGAAAACTTTCTTATAGGAAAGGAAGAAACAGACAGGTTAAATTTGAAAGGCAACTCAGTAAGTAAAAAATGTATCTTATATCAGGGAATGTAGCTTGTAGGAGAAATCAGATTTAACACTTAAATGAAATTTTCCTTATGTTGCATTTGACAAAGAACTTCACAAGCTTGAGACATTAAAGGAAAGCCATTATATTGATTAAAGGCCAAAATTCATGGATGAGCACGAATCAGACCACATGCATCTTGCTTGGTTATTAGCATGATTCACAGTGACTTATGGACATTTCCATGTAGTTTTCTTGAGAACAATACAGAAATGTTTGCTGTTTCCTAGGGTTACTAGATCTGTCAATTGCCATCTAGTGCAATCTGTCAATTGCCATCTTGTCTGATTTTTTGCAGGTCAGATCCAATAGCCTTCTATTGCTTTCCTATTTAATTCTACCAGAAGCTTTTGTTCATGAAGCTAAGCACCCAAAGAAACTCCTCCAAGTTTATAGCAACTGTAGAATTTCATGCTATTGTACCCTAAAATAGAGATTTTCTATAGACTGAACGTAAGTGTTGGTACATACCACACTAGGGATACATAAAATCATAGGATTTGAAATCAATAAATGCCAAAAGGAGATCCAAGAAACAGTAGCAATAGCACTTAGACATATATACCATCCCATAGTGCTTTACAACACTCTCTGGGCAGTTTATAATGTCAGCATATTGCCCCCAATAATCTGGGTCCTCATTTTACCAACCTCAGGAAGGATGAAAGGCTGAGTCAACCTTGAGCCCTGTCAGGATTGAACTCCAGGCTGTGGGCAGAATTTGCCTGCAATACTGCATTCTAACCACTGCACTACCAGAGCTCAATAAAGTATTTTCAAAACAAAATTTTAGAGAAAAGAACACTGAATTTGGAAAGACACAGAACACAGAATGCTGTAGATGTGACATTTAACTGACTATTATTTGTACTTGCCTGGTAATGACAATCTATTTATTATTAAAATGTTTTGTCAGCATTTGTGACACTTTTTTTTTAAGCAAAACAGGAATTAGTTCCAGGACAGAAGTTATATTCCTTACTTGCTACAATTCTTATCAGCCCCCCCCCCTCCGGTTTAACAGAATCTTTATTTATTTGTTAACACATTAAGAAATGATTTGATCACCTGTGACTGAGATATCAACCCAGCAGAGTTCGACTCTTGTCTAATATTTGAGACATTCAAATATTTTTTCAATGAATATGGTCCATCAACATGTAAGGACAAAGATGTTTTTTCATTCCACAAACCTAAAATAATATATACATCTTAGCCTGTTACTTTCCTACAATATATTCAAAATAGTGTAAACTTTGTCTAACACTGTATAAAGTGTAAAATTATAACAACTGTATCACATAGAAAATCTGTCATACATATGGGCAAAAATGTAACAAGCACCCAACATCCACCTCACATTTAATTTGACAATTAAAATCCCTACTTTAATATCTAATTAGGATTTTTGAAACCTTGTATATTTAGCAACAATTTGATTTTCACAAAAACTTTAATGTTGAATATTATCTAAACTGTTGAAAGTAAAGTTAAATACAAGCTGAAAGTTCTAAATGGTAGGAAAGAACATTTTTATACTTGAAAGGATATTTTAGCATCTTATAGGCAATCTATGGTGCAGTCCAGCGTTTTAGCTTAAGAGGTAATAGAAAATATATGAAAACCCAGTTAAAATTTTACTATATAATTTTCTACTTAACTGTTCAGTTGCTAAATTATTCATATTGTTTTGAAATTGCATTTCTATTTGTATAGGTACTGAGAATACATTTCAGATTCATATAATCCCATCCCATCTCTTTCCTGACTATGCTTAATGTAAAGTGTATTCACTTATTTTTGACAATAAAGTGGCCATGTCCTCAGCTAATCTATGAGTAACTTCGGGAGCTCAGAATATCAAGGTCAAAATATCTTATTTTGATCAGCTTTTCATGATATAAAACAGATGACCTCCAAGGTCCCTTCCAACATCATCATCATCATCATTATTATTTAATATAAAAGATATATCAAAAGTGGTTTTTATTTTTGAAAAGGCTACTGGACTGGAGGAGATAGAAGTTTCGCTTCCTATCCTGCAAGTTTCATCTGTTGTATTGGATGGTGTTGGAGATGGAAGGACAGTTATTGACAGTTGAGATTAATTGGGGAGTGGGAATGATAGGTTCTGACAGAATGGGTGGGGGTGGGAGAAGATTGTTCCTATGCAGTCAACTGACTTAACACTTTGTGTGGTTACTTGGGATTTTATCTGTGACCTCAGGGTCACTTGAATCAGAGAAGTGGAATCTTCTTGGAACAGTCAAAAAGACTGCATTGTAAATTGGGGATAGGTGGTGTCTTATCTCTCCGCCTCTGTTGGGAGAGGCTGCTCAATGTTAATATAAATGGCCTCTTTTACCTCTCTTTTAAAGCAATGGCCCTCTCTATCCAAAATGTGGACTTTGCTGTGTTCAAAAGAGTGACCCTTATCTTTCAAGTGTAGATGTAGCTCTGAATCTTGTCCTGATGGATTAGATCTCCTATATTGTGCCATGTGCTTGTGAAGTGATGGCTTTGTTTCACCAATGTACAGATCTGCACACGTCTCACTGCACTGTATTGCATATACTGCATTACTCAGTTTGTGTCTAGGTGTTTTATCCTTGGGGTGGACAAGTTTCTTAGTGTATTGATGGACTTAGTATACAAGTATACAAGCTTCTCCTGAGCATTTCAGACATTCCAGCAACATATGGAATGACAATGTTGCTTCATTTGTTATTCTCTTCTTTATCTGTAGTAGAAGAGCTCATGCTGGTCTTTTTTGGGATTTAATGAAGGTCCAGTTCTGAGGGATTTGTTTTTTTTCTTCCTTTCCCTCTTTACTGGTAGGCAAACTTTCAGTTCAAAGATGTAGGGTTCTGATCATTCCCATTTTGTATTCCAGTGGGTGATGAGAATTAAAATGCAAATACTGATCTGTGTTTATTTTTATCAATATAAAAGATAATATAAAATCATAAATATAGCTAGAAACAAACAGGAGGCTTAAAATTTGGTGTAATCACTGAAGATCTTGGATGTTTAATCAAGTCAAACTCTTCTTAGCAGAGTTCTATAAAATTTGTTGGTTATTAAGCAAAACATGGCAACATGGTAAGACAGTGCATCACTTTGATCAGGTAAATGATAATTGAGCTAAAAAAGAATCAACATGGCTTGGTATTGAGTTTATGATGATGTGATAAATTTGCATTGCAGATTACAAGTGACAGTAAAAAAGTAAATGGGCTGTTCTTTCAATAACTCCTAATATACAGCAAAAAAGGCACTGATTATATGGTATTTTTTGGTATCTCTCTTCCAAGATTGCAGTTTGCAGGCCATCACAACATACCAATATCTTTGGAATTTTGATATGGGGATAAGACATCTAGCAGTTTTATGACTGGGAACTCACCCAGCTAAGAATACTCAGTAGGAATTAGGATGTGCTTATTTTGTCACTCTATCTCAAATATTTGTTGTTTTTAAGGCAGGCTATGCAAATTGGAGGGAGGATGGTTCTGCGCAAGCTGCAGATGTGTGTCCTTGCCCACTGCTTGCAAAAATGGAGCAGCATGCACATGCTCTTGCCTGCTGCTTGCACAAGTGGAATTGCATACATATGCACGTGCCCACCGATTCCACAGCCCAGTCCCATGATTAAGGTTCTTCCTGGACAGGCCATATCCCTTTATTTTTAATGCATGAGGATGGAAGCCACAATAATGCAGCTTTTCCTCCAATTCTTTTTTTTTTATTTAAAGATAAAGTGATCAGCTAACACATATACTGTAGGTTTAGGCCTATGGGGAGAGTAACAAGTTTGGCTAAATTCGAAGTTATTAATCCAAAGATCTTTCACCTCTGGTTTAATAAACAGTACCTGTTAATTTATGTGCTGCACCATTCCAACTGGATTCACTTTCCATATTGACTTCTTTCTTTCTTAGCTTTAAATCAGGCAATTCACTTTCAATCTGCTAAGAAGAAAAGATGTTGATCTATCTGTATTTATGCTTTTTTTTCTAAATCCCAAGTTCAGCTTTCTACACAAATTTTAGCTATCTTGTAACAGCTGTTTAATTTGTAATGCTGATTTTTTTAAAGTGGTCATATGCACCTTCACAACATGTTATCTGAAATATTGTGAAACTGAGAATTTTTTTTAGGGTTAACCCTGTTATCTCATCCTATGTCAGGACTCAGTTAGTAGCTAGAAGATTCTAGAATCTAGACTAACTAGGTAGATTCATCTGAACAGGAGAGCAAGAATGAAGAGACTGTATAAAAGGACCTGTCATCAATAGACACTATGAAGACTAGAGATAAATCCAAGTCTTCATTTCAAGAAGGAATTACTAGAAAAGGGTATGAAAGATTGGAGTAATTTATTTGCTTGTGCAATGTTCTGTTCCAAATATTGTAGGTTTTTATGATAAGATAATATCCTGACTGTATGTCCTTGCACATGCCGCAAAGTTTCCTCATCTTCAGCTTTGCTAAAACAGCAGGATGCAGAACAAGGATTTTTTTAAAAAAAATTGTTTAAAAGGAGAATTCAGTTGAATATTACAAGCCAGGAATCCCCAACACCTGGCCATGGCCCATTACCGGGCTGCAGCCCATTCAGAACCTGGCTGTGCAAGCGTGCACACCTGCAGTATCACTTCCGTGCGCAGCAGACAAGCAAGTGTGCACAGCTCCATTTGTGTGAGTAGTGGGCGTGCATGCCTGCTGCTTGGGCAATGGATCTGCATCCCCTCTCCCTCCTGCAGGTCCACAAAACCAGAAAGGTTGGAGACGCTGTTACAAGCAACTGTTTAATGCAATCTACTTAAAACTCTGCTTTGCTGGAGATTTTCAAACAGAAGGTGAATAGCCACCTGTCAGTGATGGTTTAGTGATTTCTAGTACTAAACAGAGGGATTGGATTGGATGTTGTTCCATTGTTTACATACTGTAATTTCATGGATTTAACTGAGCTCCTTGAGATAATTTAGGAGTCTGGCAGCATGTTTTTTGATAGCACCTTTTCAGTCTAATCAAATTTATTGGAAGGTACAAATTTATGTGAACTACAGCTCATTTCTATATCTGTTTGCAGTAGCTAAACCGATATGGAGATTGAAATGAATGATGACAGAAAAAAAGGGGGGACGAGAGGATAGATATTTAACTACATATGAGAAAGATAGATTATGAGAGAGAGAGAGAGAGAGAGAGAGAGAGACAGACAGACAGACAGAGAGTGACAGACCAAGGACAGTTATATAAAAACAGATATAATCATTCCACAGCCAGTTATAATGAAAAGTGATATAGTCTTGATCTCATGCATTACAAATAGATTTTTACTTACAGAACCCAACTAAGTGAAGAATGGAAGAAAATAGCAGCTTGACAAATTGTCAGCCCCACTATGTAGATCAAACCAAGAAATTACCACCACCAGAAGACTAAAATTACTTTTATTAATATTGGCTATAGAAACATAATGTTGCAAGTCTGTGCTTTACTCTCCACCACAATCCCTTCTATATTATGTGAATTAGTGAAGTATGAAAGGGTAAGTCAAGACCTGTTCTCTTTCATTCAGTTCTATTTGAGTAGAGTAGCCATCCAAAAAAGGGGAATTCCTTGGATGGTTACTCTAATCAATTAGAATTTAGATAACCAACTGTCTGGAATGTTTTATTTGAATTCCTGTAAATAGCATGGGGTTGCACTTGATGACCTAAGTGCTTTCCAAATATAAAATTCTATGGCAGTAAGTTTAAACATGTACAACATCATTTCAGTCAAAGAATGTGCTGGAAATCGCCATCAGTTGAAGGGATTTTAGGTCATGTTCTTACAAACATAAGAGGCCATTAGCTCAAAAGTAGCAATGTTCCAAACATCCTGATTATAAAAGTGAATTAAAAAGAGAAAGCAAATAAAAAAAATAGTTCAAAGAACAGAATATAAAAGAAAAATTAAAAAAAAGATGCTGAACATTATCAATTCAATGGCAGTTGGAAAAGAACCCCTTGGTCATTCAAAGGGGGGGGAGTTTTTTTTAAACTGTGGAGAACTGAAGAACTATATTGGGCTTGACTAAGGTAGAACTGCAGAACTGAAGACAATATTCTACATTGGGCTTCACTAAGGCAGAGTGGAGCAGGATAATTATCAAACTGGTAATGAAAATATGGCTTAAATCCTATGGGCTAATGTGGGTAGCTAGAAGAAAACGTATTTGTAAGTTTCAAGGAAGAAAGTAATTTAAGCAAAACTTGCTCAGTAAGTACGAAGTCTCAAAGCCCATTTAAACAGAAGATTTCTGATATTATTGTTAGTGACTCTGTTTCCAAATCCCTGATTTCTTTTAACAATAATAATGGATATATACACAGGAGCAAAATGATCATATTATACCAGTATTAGAACACATTACAATAGATTTTTCAAATCTTACAAAAATTACCTTTCTAGTGAGACAATTCAGGAAATTCTCATCTTTATCAAGGTCATGAGGGTCTGAAGTTGCATGTTCTACTACAAATACTTTTGTTACAATGGCACTTTCTCTGTAATCTCTGTAATTTAAGAATCAAATATTATTCTTTCTTTTTATTACTGTAGGCTGCCTAAAGTAGCTCCATGGTGGTTTAGGTAGCAAATAAGTTTAACAAAATAAATAAATTAGACAAGACCTATATAATGTATAGCCTAAAAAAGAACAGCACTTCAGTCACATATAAGTAACTTAACAGAGATGACAAACCTTATTTTTTTATTGGCTCTCTAATATTACATAATTAAAAAAAATGGTAAAGACAGTCTCAAATTGAAATTGGTTTTCTTGGCAAATATAAAATGGTGGCTTGCCATTGCCTTCTTCTAATTATTTATAGCTCAAGAATTTCCTGGTAATCTCCTATTTATTGACTTAGCTCTTGAGTCCTGACAAAGCAACTATCAGCTGCTGAGAATGGCACAGATAAAACAAATAAACTAATATGTTTAATATCTTAACATATTTATAACTAACCTTTTGATTTACTACAACCGCATAGAATGGAATAAAAACTTTATAGTCACTTTAAATGTAGACTAATCAGCATGCATTAAAATGAAATTTCGTTGCATTCAGCTCTCAGAAAATACCATTATGCATATACTCATATACACACACATATGACACAGAGAAACATCACAGTCTAGTTCAAATGTATACATATACATGACAGATGGCATAAGGAACAAAGCTGTTACAGAATCTAGTAGTTCTGCTCTAAATATTTTGAAATCTCCTCCCAGAGGGTAGCAACACAACCAGACCATGAAGTGGGTGTGTGGGGTCTCTAACAATGCTTTGAGCTCTAAGTATATAGTGCTTATAAGCAGTATCCTGAATCACAGAAAGTGAGCTTCCTATAATCTTCTCAGCTCTCTTTACCACTCTCTTAACTACATTTTTAAATATCATCATTCAAGTTATTACCATGTTTGCATTATACAGTATAATAAGTGTGATTTAGCGTTAATCATGGATAAAGTACTAACCCATCAAAATCACTCTAGAACAATGGTTCTCAACCTTTTTAATGCCGTGACCCCCTACCGGTCATAAGTCGAGGACTACCCAACTGGTCGTAAGTCGAGGACTACCCAACCGGTCGTAAGTCGAGGACTTTCCCTGCCCGGGAGTGACGCGCATGCGTGGTGCCGCCCCCTGTGCCGGCCAAGGCGTAGCTGGCAAGCAGCAGATGGCGCAGGCCGACCACCGGCTGGCCCACCAGCTGGCCCAGCCCAAGGGAGGTAAGGCACCCGCCAGGCCCCACGCACGCTAGCAACCCTCCCTGCAGCCGCCGGCCTCCCACCTCCCACCCCTGGCCCTCTTTTACTTACATTTTTAGTAGTTGCTCAGCAGGGAGGGGTGGAAAGTTCCAGACAGCTCACCTTCGCTGCAGACAACTTGCAGCACCGTTTGCAGAATGGGACTTTTGGCGGGCTCAGCAGGGCAGAGACAGCCTGGACAATTCCTATTGGCTTTTGAAAGCCAATAGAATTAGACTCTATTCAAGAGAGTCTATTCTATTGGCTTTCAAAAGCCAATAGAATAAAAGGGAGTAGCACAGCTAAGGAAAAGGGGGAAAAAATGGCGGACTGCGTTGTTTGGCGACCCCCGTGAAATGGTCGTTCGACCCCAAATGGGGTCCCGACCCACAGGTTGAGAACCGCTGCTCTAGATAATACAGCATACTACTGTATAGCTGACTCCAACTTGCCAATTTCTTTCTTTGGGTGATATCCCAGCCCCCTTTATAGTGGATGCTCAGTAGGCAATCTTTTTTCCAAAACAAATGCAGAACAAATATAGAAGGCTTGACTGAGATCAAGGTTAATGCACATGGAATGGAGTAAGTCTCCCTATCACCACCTTGTGTCCAGATTCATATCCCACCACATCTGTGGGTTTGAAAACAAAACTAAATCAGCAAAGATACTGCTGCAGGAGTAGCTCAACTATATAATTGCTCCTCCTCTCATGTTCTGTACCCAGAGTCTGCTGGAAGGGGGAATTATTAGGAAAACATAAACAAAATCATGGCCAGTGGTTTTAGTTAAAGTGTACCATAAAGTGAAATGATCTAAATTCAGTTGGCAAAAAAGTTTAAGAAGCTTCTTTTGAAAGACAAAGAGAAGAGATTGTGTAAAGTTCACGACAGACAAAAAAAGAGTAAAATATAAATCCTTTTTTTTAAAGACTTCTGGATTGCCATTTTTCAGAATAAAAGTCTGTCTCAAAACACAACCCTGAATTATAAGACTAGATAGGATTTACATACTATACTTGTTTGGCATTGCTAAGGTGAAGACAAAAATACTACTATTTCATCAAAAAGAATGAAAACTTCCAGAAAAATGCAAATTGAACAACAGATCTGAAAAATCATGTTTTAATTATGACATATATAGGTGATTAGCACTTTTGTAATTGTTCCTATAAAAATTATTATTCTAACATAGACTTTAAGAAATCTTGATGTTATCGTTGATACCTACTATAAGTAACAGGGGTTAACAAAATATAGAATCAGAAAGTAGCATCAATAATCAGTAAGGAAAATTTCTACAAAATAGCAATTTAGCAATAAGGCTTTGTGTATTAACATAGGGTGATCAGGCAAAGAATATTTTACGGAAATGATTTCCTATGAGCACCACTACATGTATACACATTCTTCTTCCAATATAGTAAAACCACCCTTACTAAATATCTCTTCCATAAAAAGCGAAACAAATTATGCATGTCAAAAATCTCATTTCTAAGCTCTGAACAAAGGAAAACTCAGTTCTACATTTATTCAAAGTAGGAATTACAAGTCCTCGAGATACAACTGTAATGGAGCCTTCCCATTATAGTGGCACGTTGCAAGGCCCTTAAGCTAAACGGTCTTGTTTAATAACACTTACCCCTGCTCTCCCTGATGTGGCCATTAAATAAATTTGTGGATTGTTAAATAGAGCTCAAGGTTCCTCAGGGGTCCCTAGCCCACCCAAAGCCTCCCCCACTACCTGAGACAGCCTGTCCTCTGCTTCCCATCTCTTGAGTCCCCATACTTCTTTTCCCACTCCCACTGAGGTCCTGCAGGCCTTAAGTCCACTTTCCACCCCACCAGGCCAAACACCCTTCTCATCACTTACCGTTTAAAGGTCTTCCAGAGAATTGGGATGGATTGCTTCATCGCACTGAAAACACTTCGGCCACTGAAAACATTGCAGCCACTTCTGGAATTGTGCCATGTAGCTGAGGGACCAAGCAACCTATTCTGCTTCGCTAACATGGTCTGCTCAGCCTTTCAGAGATTTCTATTTCTGTAGCGTTGTGCAGATCCCATTAAGGCAGCAATCACTCCATTTTGCTGCCTTAATGCGTAGCACTTCACAAAACTTCTGAAAGGATGAATGGCCTGCCCTTCTTCTGCAACATGAGGTCTGGAAAACTTCAAAAGGTAAGTATGCGATGGGGGATAGGCATGTGAAGAGCAGCCCCAAGCACTGCAGTTTCCTGGAGGGAAGGGACGGGGAGAGAGAGGCAGGGAACATTACAGCATCCCTGTGGTCAGTTGTAAAGGTGAATGATGATGGGGGCACTGCAGCGGCCATAACTTCAAAACAAGGGCATATATAGCTTGGGTGGACGTCTTTCAATAGCCATAAAGTGACTGTTCATATTTCGAAGACTACCTGTACATAGTGAAGATACTTACTTTGTAACTGCCAATGCCTTGATGGTTATTTTCCCAGGTGGTAATGTAATTGGTTCCTTATACTTAAAAGTATTATGATGTCTATAATCAAACTTCTTAAAATATTGTGGTTTACTTCCATCAATAGTAAAATGTATGGTCACATCACGTGTATCTGAAAGACAGTAATAAGGAAATCCACATCATCTCTTTCAATAAGACATTATACATTCATTTACAAAAACAAAAAACAGGGCAAACATTTATGTCACAGATGTCCAAAAATAAGGTAACTAACTGTCCTCCTTTAGGGAGGACAGTCCTCCTTTTGTGAGTTCTGTCCTCCCTCGAAAAGTGTCCTCCTACGTGTCCTTCTTTTCAATATTTGAAAACTAATCTGCAGGGCTTTTTTTTTCCTCATAGAACGCTCAGAACGGCGTTCCGACACCTTTTTTGATGTTTTTTTTTTCAACTTTTGCATGAGCTGGGCTACTCCCCTATTGGCTTTTGAAAGCCAATAGGAATTGCTGCTGAGCACGCCAAAACACCCGGCTGGCAAACTTTGCACATGTAAGTTGTCTGCAGCGAAGGCGGATTGGCAGGAACATTGCACCCCTCCCTGCTACCCAACTACACCATCTCCTAGTTCAGTGGTTCTCAACCTTTTTAATGCCGCGACCCCAACCGGTCGTAAGTTGAGGACTACTCAACCGGTCGTAAGTTGAGGACTACTCAACTGCGCAGCACCGTTTGCAGAATGGGACTTTTGGCGGGTTCAGCAGGGCAGAGACAGCCTGGACAATTCCTATTGGCTTTTAAAAGCCAATAGAATTAGACTCTATTCAAGAGAGGCTATTCTATTGGCTTTCAAAAGCCAATAGAATAAAAGGGAGTAGCACAGCTAAGGAAAAGGGGGGAAAAATGGCGGACTGCGTTGTTTGGTGACCCCTGTGAAATGGTCGTTTGACCCCAAATGGGCTCCCGACCCACAGGTTGAGAATCACTGTCCTAGTTAGTCCTGAAGATACCTGGAGGAGACTGGAGTGGCGACGCCATGGTAACTTTTTCTTGATCTTCGGCCCTGCTAGGGCAGTAATAGCTGTGGGCACAAGAGGAAGGGGCAGTGGGGCTGCTGTGGGCGGGAATGTGAGGGGCAGTAGTGGCTGGCTGCCCCCCAATACTGTAGGAGCCGCAGGGCCTGCTCTACAGTACACGGGGCTGTGCAGGGTGGGTGGTGATGTGGCGGGGCGGCTGCAGGTGGGGTGTGTTGACAGAGGGCTGTCCCGCGGGGCTGGAGCTGGTGCAGCTGGTGCTTTGGGAGCCGTGGGACCCGCTCTACACAGCAGGGCAGCAGTGTTGGTGGGGCGGCTGCGGGCGGGGGCGCGGCATGTAAGCATAATTACAATATAAAATGTTATTGTTGCAAATAGTTTTTATTATGCATTTATTATATTATAGTGTATTCTGTATTATTGTTGCAATGAATAAAATGTTTCTTTTATTTACGATATTTTTTTCTTCAATTTATTTGTGTCCTCCTTTTCATTGTAAAAAAGTTGGTCACCTTACCAAAAAGGAAAAGAAATTATAGGCTTTGGAAAATAGTTTGGAAAATATAGGAGACCTTACTAGAAAGTTAAGCATTTGCTAAATAATAATGTCTGTAATAATACCTAGAGACAATGTGGTGTAGTGGTTAAGGCATCAGGATAGTTTTCTTGACAAGATTTTTTTAGAATTGGCTTGCAATTTTCTCCTTCTTAGGGCTAAGAGAGAATGACTGGCTCAGAGTAATCCAGCTGGGTTTGTACCTGAAGATGAACTAGAACTCACAGTCTCTCAGTTGGTTGTCTGTTGCCTTCACTACTGTGTCAAACTAGCTTTCTTATGAAGATACGAGGTTATAAAAATTCTGTCTATTTCTGTGTAAAACCAATACATTCCAAAAGTATTTTAGGGTAGAGATGCTTTTCTTTTTTAATCGCCTTCCTGTGAATTGGCAAATTGATAGCTTTTCTTCTACTAATGAAGAAGCCTACAGATGGTTGTTCCAACAACAATGTCCTGAATCTTTATCAGTCTGGGATCATTGCATATAATGAGATTGTAATTCTTCCTTTTGTACTATATAAAAAAATAGCTGATTTTGGAAAAAAATAACCCAAAACAAATATCAGCAACACTGAAAAAGGCAAACAAGTATGACTTTAAGGGTATAGAAAACATATTTAATGAAAGGCTGTATCATGCAGTTAATATTGACTGAGAATTCTGTGAACTGTTGGACAAGCCATCACATATGAAGGTATGTTATTTTTGATACAGTTTCCAATATAATGAAGAAATGGCTTTTCTGACTTTAAAAGTAGATGCAATTTAATCTACAGAGTCTTCATTTTGCCTTTAATTATAATGGCATATATTATTTGGACACTGAAACAATGGTTTTTCTGTGAAAGACAAGGGGTAAGATGACCCTTATGGTAACAACCATATTTGTTTTATTTGTAGGCAACCCTACAATGTGCGCTGTATAGGTCCATTTTTTTTTAACCTCAGAGCCTGCTACCAATTTTGCTCCTCTATATGTCCTAAAGTTTGACTAACATAATCTGTGTAAAAGATATTAATTATTTCTAATGTTTAGAAAGAAATCTTAAAATTGATTTTCTATTTGTAATACATTATATAATATGGCATATCTATAGCACTGCTTGGACTGACATCCTGTTCAACTGGAAGATGTAAGTTCACAGTCAAATTTGAACAGAAAGGCAAACTAGTTCTACCTTGATTTGTGGAACTCCACAAGAATTTATTTTGTCCATTCACCATCAGGGTTTGGGGGGGTATGGTGTCATCTCTATGTAGCTGACATTTCTCCTTTTCATTACATCCAAAATGGCCTATTGAAATTCTATGTATTTTAATAGTAATTTTATTAAAAATTACAATTTCAACAATAAAAAACTAATACAACCTAAAAAAAGATGCTGAAAAAATAGAAAACAAATAAGAAACTTAAAAGAAATATATAAATGACTTTCCACTTCATCACAAATATAAACAATTTTAGAAACTTATCACCTCTTCTTAAAATACAACAACCTCTTCTTCCTACATCCCATATCCTATCTAGAAACACATCCTTAAAACATCATTTTAGTCCAGATCCATAAAAAGTTCATTATGAGCTATCAGTGATAAAAACATATCTATTTTAACTTTGATCAAATAAACCAACTTTATATTCCTTTATTTAACTTTCAACATCTTGATCATTAGTCCCTTCAAATAATATTCTAGAACTTGATTCCCTCCCCCATTTTTTTCCTTTGTACTCACAAAATTCTTCAGATTTTTAACAAGCCTCTTTTATAAATCCAATATAGGAAAATTGTCCAGGTCAGTCTCTTGGTTTATTATCTTTATATCTCTTTTAATTATTGATTTAGTTATTTTAATTATTCATCAGCCAATTTCTTTTGTATGCCCAGTGTTGCATCTTTTTTCATAACTTTGTTGTATCTTGTGATTTTTAAATCCACTTTCAGATCAGTCTTAGTCTTGCCTAGTAAAACTTGTTCTTTTTTTAATAACATCTTTTAAATCCAGTCTCTCTATAGAGACAGACATTCTTAAAATTAACTTTTGGGTCCATTGTTTAAAAATACTTTTCAAAACATTAAATGTTAAAGTATTTTGCTCCATTCTGTATTAATAAGTAAAATTTAAGTGTTCTTTTTATTGTAATTTTTAGTTCCTTCTAATTTCCTGTAGTCCAACCTTCAAAGTCTCATTCTATTGTGTTTTTAAAAGAGAATTCAACAAAGGCATTTTCTCATGAGAATAATTTTTATAATTATTTTCAAAATCTTATTTCAAATCCATATGGACCCTTAATTCCTTAGTAATTTTTTGAAATCAAAACCTTAACCACCCCTTTGTTGCTTATTCCAGAAAGATTTTTCCTCTAGAGGCCTTTGAATTCCCGACAACCCAATTATCTGTTTCACTGGTTTTATCCAATGGTTTCTAAAAGCAGACTCTCTTACTTATTCTCTAAGAATCTTCTGTCAGTTTCATAAAAATCTTCAGATCATAATTTTACATCATGTTATTTTCTGTCCTTGTTTTAGTGTTTTCAATATCATTGCTGAGTTGTTGGAGCGGTTGTTTGGTTTTACAATAATATTTTACGATATTAATGTTTATTTAGTATTACTCAGAAATCTTTAAATGAAATATTTGAAATAAGTATAAAGTTGTGTGTATGTGTATCAGGCCTGCCATCTTCAGCATCTTTTGCTTTGCTGGCATCCTGCCATAAAATGTAAGGGATGAGAGAGGCAATTGGGAAAGTAAGGAATGGGCATGGGAATGAGAAGGAAAAGAGGGGGGATGACAGGGTGACAAGAACCAGACGTGTTGATCTGGATGATACCAGCTGATCAAAGATGAAGCCTGAGAACAGTATGTGAATCTATAACAGAGAGGCACCAACCTTCAAAACCATTCCCAAAACATTAAAAAGAGATTTTATTGGACACTGACAGACTGGCCAAGGGGGGAGGCCCAATGGGAAAGGAAAAATTGTAATATTTGTGTGGGAATACTCAGATCCAGCTTTGCTTTAGCTGTAACCACTTGACTTTAGTAAAAGAAGCTTTCACTTCAAGAAACGGAGTCAACAGTGTGAATCAGGGCCAAGCTGACATGTATATGCAAATAACTTCAGCATATGTTCTCACATAGTAAACATACCTGATTTCATTTCAACAAGAGTATTTGTATCTATTTCATGTTTTGCTCTGCTACTTGAAATTCGAAGTGGTATAATCTGAGGTGTTAAAATAGATCCAGCAGTCATTATTTCACCAAAAATTAGGTTTCTAAAGAACGAAAAGCAACATATTTTAAACATATCAATATAATCATAACTAAATACATAAATCTATCCATTAAAGTCAGTAGCCATTCCATGATCCTTTTCATATGCACCAGGACAGTACCTAGTTACATAGTCATTGTTACTTGCTTTTGTTCATGTTGGAAACACCTAAGGCGCTTCCTAGTTGAAAGGATTAACCCAGAGGTCACCAGCCTTTCTCAACTGGCAGACCGAACCATCTTCCCCCCTCCCCTTCCGTAGAATAGCAGAACCCTCAGCAAGAAATAAAAAGAAATAAAATAGATCTCTCCCCTCCCAAGTATAGGAATGAGTTCTGACATTCTTGATGCAAGATTGTATAAAGGAAAATTGCAATATTTAGTGCAGTGGAAGGGATATCCATTTTCAAAAGCCACCTGGGTGAAGTGTACTGATGTGAAAACTGACAGACTTATACATAAATTTTATGATAAACATCCGAACAAACCAAGGGGGGATTCTTAACTTTTGGTCTTTTGTTTGATTTGCAGGATTTCTTCTTTCTTTTAAGGGGAGCCAAATGTCAACAACGTGACAAACTGAACTGAAGCCATTTTCATTTTGTCTTTGTTGCCACATTTTAGTTTAGAGATGTTAGATGAAGGAAGAGGGGTGGGGGATGTGTAGTTTTCAGTTAGCCAAAACAATTTATATGTGTGAAAATCAAGGTCAGTGCTGATAACATTTTGGCGGGCTGGAGAGCTGGGAGGAGAGCCCGTGTTTTGTAACAATTGGTGAATGTGATTTATGACAGCAATTTGGGGTGGGAATTGCAATAGTGTCTTTGTAACCAAGAGGAGGGGATTTTTAGTCTTGGGTTCACCTACATAAGTGCTGATATTTTATTTCCTAAATAAAATATTCTCTAAGGAAGAAAGTTTTTTCTTGAAGTTCTTTTAAACGGTTTTCATCTATTGGAACCATGACATTTTATTTGGCACAGTTGTTTTTAATTATCTTGTTCATTTTTATGTGTTCACAAATATGTCTATTTTTTGTTTATTTTGACCTGCATTCCTGTTCTATCTCCCATGGTGCTTTTGATAAGTTGGACTTTTTCCCCCTTTAGCATGAAGATAGATGCAAAGAAAGAATTAACCACTTTCTCCCTACTGCCCATTACTATCTTGCTAACTTTTCCCATTAATGGACCTATCGTTTCCTTGATTATATTATTCTTTACATATTGAAAGAATTGTTTTGGTTATTTTTAGCATTTATTGCAAGTCTTAATTCATTCTGAGCTTTAGTTTTTCTGCTTCCAACCTTGCAGATTCAGACTACATTTTGATGTTCTCTTCTAATTATGTGTCCCTCTTTCCATTTTTTATACTTTTCCTTTTTGTCCCTCAGTTTGTCAGTGAGCTCTTTATGCAACCATGCTGGTTTTAACTGGGGCCTTTCGCCTCCCCCCCCCTTTTCTCTCTGGTACTGTGTTTCATTGGGCTTTTTATAATCTCATTTTTTCATGTCTCAAGCATCATGAATTGTTTTTCTCTTTAGGATTCCCATCCACAGAATCCTTCTAATCTCTTAAGTTTATTGAAGTTGGTTCTCTTGAACTCTAAAACACTAGTTTGATTTTGTTCAATTAGCTATGCCTGCATTATGTTGAATTCTAGTATGATATGTTCATTCCCCAAAGTTCCTACAACTTTCACCTCTTTAATCATTTCATGCCTATTAGTATGAATAAAGTATTAGTCAAACTAATATGACTAATATGAATATAGCTGACCTTCCAATTCCCTCCTCTACCTTTTGGATGACAAAATTGCCAGATAGGTATGTCTGATCTCAATGTTTGATCAGACATGCAACTTATTTGATCTTCCACTTGCTGCAGAGTTAGTTTCCCACTTAATGTCAGGGTAGTTAAAGTCCCGCATTACTATAGTGTATTTCCTGCACACCTTAGCAAACTGATTAGCAAAAATCTATTTCCTCTGCTTGGTTGGGTACCCTGTAATATATGCCTATAGCAATGTCATTTCTTTTTCCTCTAACATTCACCCAAATGCATTCAAGAAGGTTTTCTTCCTTGGTTTTGTGTATTTTTCTACACGTATTGATTTCTTACATGTAATACAACTCTTCTTTTTTGTTGGATCTGTTTCTATCAGGTCCCCTTTTGGGTGGCCTGCCATTCTGTTGGAGGGGGGAGGAGGAAGTTCCGGGGGAGCATTCTTTGCAAAATTTGGGTGAAGTTCAATGGAGACTCCCAGCAGCTGGAATTCTTCCTGGCCCATGTCCTGACCTACATGCAGGAATATGGACCAGAAATCCCCAACGAGGGTGCCAAGAGGCAGTGTGTCATACTGGCATTGGAAGGAGCAGCAGTTTATTGGATGGTGATTCTCCACAATGCAAATGCCTCTGAACTGAGGAACTTCGATTGTTCATGACAGTGCTCCGCTGCCGTTTTGAGGATCCCCTTGCTATCAAGAAAAGCAAGAGACTGCATTAAAACAGTAAGGGAGAGATGTAGAGCTGAGGAGGAGTACAGAGAGGAGTTCCACAACCGGGCATGCCAACTTGACTAGCCAGAAAATATCCTTGTCAGCTGTTTTAAAGATGAGTTGAATGATGAACTGTACAACACTTATGTGGCAAGGAGGCCCCCTGCAACTCTACATAACTGGCATGTGGTAGCTGAGGAAGTAGAGATCGACCAAACCTGAAATAAATACTGCGCAGCAAGGTCCTGGAAAAGACCCCCTCCAGAGAAAAGGGAAATGACCAAACCCCAAATTTCACAAGGCAGATCCACCACCTGCTTTAAATGTGGCCAGGAAGGGCACCAAGCAGCAGAATGTAAAACTGGCCATCCAGCCAAGAAAACAAGCCCAAACCTCATGGGAAAACTCACCAAGGTGCAGCCACAAGTCAAAGAAACAGCACTGGAAGGAATGGAGATTATGGAGTTCACCCCATTGCCCAAAAGAGCAAAGGGAACTCCGACCCCACCAGATGACGACCAGAGATTAACGGACACTGACTCCAACAACGACCCCCTGGTAAATGACCTGGTCATCCCAGTCACTGTTCCTATAGAACTGAGTTTCCCTGAGTCAGGATTGAAAGCTAATCTAAGATCCCTACTAGACTCAGGCTACACTAGATGCTTGGTAAATCCAGCATTGGTCGAGAAACTGGGAATCCAGCTGAGCCAGTTAAAGGTCTCGGTAAATCCAGCATTGGTCAAGAAACTGGGAATCCAACTGAGCCAGTTAAAGGTCCCAGTGGCATTCTGTCAACTGGACATATCTGTCATGGGAGGCATTCCAGCGACTTTTGCCACCGTACCTATAGTCTTGAGCTTCATAGTAGCCCCTGGGATGGAAAGACCCCTAGTCCTAGGGCTATCCTGGCTAAAAAAAAAATGGAACCCTGACATGAATTGGAGAAAAGGACTGTCAAAGTTTCAAATAAATTGCTCCTCCCGGGCCTAAGGGAAACTTACAAAGGTGAGAACTCCGAAGCCAAACTAAAGGCTGTTATGCAAGGGAAGGACCTCCCTTGCATATTGCTCCAAGGAATACTGAGATCTCAGAGATATGTTTAGAGAAGAGGGCTCGGATGTACTTCCTCCCCATAGACCTAGTGACTGTGCTATAGAAATCCTACCTGGTGTCAAACTGCCAAAGCCAAAGCTATACTTAATGACACGCAGAGAGCTGGAGGAATTGCAATTGTTCATTGATAAAAACCTAGCCTGAAGCTTCATTCAACCAGCATGATCCTGGGTTGCAGCTCAAGTCCTGTTTGGAGAAAAGAAGAATGGAACCCTTCATCTATGTGTGGACTAAAGAGGGCTAAACACAGTGTGTATAGAGAATGTTTACCCCCGGCCTCTGATGAAACACATGCTAGCCCACCTGGTCAAGGACAAAAACTTTACTAAATTGGACTTGCAGGAGGCATATTATCATGTAAAGGTCAGAGAGGGGGACAAGTGGAAAACCTTGTTCAATTGCCTGCTGAGTTCACATTCAACTAATCCATAGGTGCAAAGTTGTTATGGGAACCGGAGCTGATAAGGGACGGTTCTCAGGCACTTCACTGGATCTCACAATGGAGTAGAGATAAGGCACATTCCTTTCCCTTTTTCACACCCAAAGAGATACATCAAAATTTAGAGGGAACAAAGTAGAGGAAATACATCCATAAGCCCTCTTCCAACAGAGCAAAGCCTCTCCCCTTCCATTAGAATGGCAGAGTCCTAAAAGAAACATTGAAGGGGTTTCTGACATGCTGCCCCCTTAAAAAAATGAGAAGTCTGCCTGGAGATAGAAAATAATAAAATAGGAATGAAAAAGAGAAAAATAAGTTACTCAGGTTTGTCAAGATAACGAACAGGAAAACGTTTGAGCAGTTTGGGGGGCTCTAACATGTTTCTTATGAACCCATTTGTTTTGGGAGGCTGGGAGATCTTTCCAGGCAACTTGGTACTGCTTAGCCCCATGATATTTGGCTGAATCTTCTTTAATTTCAAAGTGTTGCTCACCTTCTACCATGGTGGGTAGAGGTGCAGGGGGAGCTGCTGGCCTTAAAGGCAAGGTTATTTCAGGTTTTAACTGGCTGCAGTAGAATGTGGGGTGGATTTGCCTTAAAGGTTTTGGGAGTTCCAATTCCACTATGACAGGGTTTATGGTGTGTTTTTTTTATTGAAAGTTTTTTAAATTTTACAAAACAAATCTCCTCCCCAAACCCCCCTACCCTCCCATACCCTCCCCCATCTCCCCAAACCCTCCCCCAACCTTCCCAGAGCTGAGTACAGGCTTAATTAAAATTTTTCAGAAAAAGAAAAGAAAAACTTAAAACACATATAAATCCTAAACAAATCTAAATACATTAAATTAAATAGGTTATCTTCTCTAAAAAATAATAATTGCAATCATTAAACACATTATAATATACTCTAAACATTTTCTAGTATCATACTTATATTATTATCCATCA